AATTAGTCAGGAAATACTTGGAAAGGATATAGCGTCACTATAATTGCATGTTGATTTGTGATGTAGAGCCAGAAAAGTAAAGAAATAAAGGCTGGCAGCTTTTGACAGTGCTTTTGTGTATGTGGTCATTTACTTCTATGTAATAAATATTCCTTTTCCCTTTTTTTGTCCACTGCTTATCTTTACTGCTCCAGAGAATTTCCTATTTAAACATGTTTTTGAATTACACTTAAAACCTCTGGGTGTTAGAATGTCTGGGAGATACTGGATTTGAAGTGTTAAATAAGGACACTTTAACACAGTACCTTGTGTATGTGTATAATGTGTTGTAAAACTTAAAGCTTGTGAATATATTTTCATCTTATTTGTCCACAGTTGCTTGCCACATTTTTCATACAATATGAAAGAATAAAAGGAGTCCAGTCTTCAGGTGTAATGACGATTTTCTGGCTCATCTCATTGCTATGTGCCACAGTAGTTTTTAGATCCAAAATAATGCATGCCTTAAATACGGTAAGTGATTGCTAGCCTCATTCAATTGAAAATAATCCCAAATGCTGCAGTAATGGAGTCATTATGCCCGTCAAGTCAGTTAATGATCCATTCAGGGTACCTTCATTACTTGGGTTATAAAAGCAAAACAAGCAAGACTTAATGGTTCTTGTTTTGAAATGCTAGTGAAATTCACAGTGATCTTAACTGTAGCCACAGTTGCCAAGAAAATTCTGTTAGCTGTTGCAGAAAGGGGATGTGTCTGCTTGAGTAAAATAGAAGTGTATAAACTTTGATATGAAACTGTTTACGTCACCTTCCTGTTGATTATACAGCAGACTTCCTGAAACACTTGGTTTGATGGTAACGTGGCCTCATCTGCTGAGACAAAGTGAAAGTGTACAAGTGAAATATTTTTATGTCAGTCTGCTTTACAGTAAGCCCTCCTCAAATATCAGATTAATTGCAGAGCTGCCTGAAAATGGCATATCACTTTTATTTCTTGAAACCTTTAAGCCACATTGTGAATTTTAAGAACTTTTCAGCCAACTTTTGTCTTTAGCTGTTGGGAGTGGGGTTTTACTGGTGGGTGTGTGGGGGGGTGTGTCCATCCATCCCTGTGCTTTGATTTCTGTGGATTATGCTTTATGTATCAGTCCCAGTCTAAAAAATGGAAGAACCTCTGGAATTGGAGCACAACGCAACAAACTGTAATCTAAATTCTGCTCCTCTAATTCTTATTTTCTGTGTGCACGCTAATTAACAAATCTGCTTTGAAAACTCCTTACTACCCGGTGCATAACTGCCTTGCTCTTGTAAAGAGTACCTTGACTTCAAATTGGGGCATGCTGTGTTGGTACAAACCATGCTTTAAAGAGAACTTCTCTACAGTAGTTCATGCTTGTATGTTTGTGGCAGTGATTGATTAAAAATAAATGGTATCTTTCATTTCCTTCCCCCTCTCTTTACCTTCCCTTTACCAAAATACATATTGACTTTAATTTGCATGGGGGTGGGTAGTGTAACATTTATGTAGTTTCCAGAATTTACAGGAAGGAGCTGTTTTGTGCTTAATATTAACATGTTCTAAAGAAGTTCCTCAAGCCTTCTAATTGGAATATGACCTTCCTTTGTAGGGTGCTGAAGTGGATGCATTTCGTTATGCCACCTTCTGCATCTACTTCATCCTGTTATTTGTACAGCTCATCCTGTGTTGTTTTCCAGAACGACCACCTCTGTTTTCTGAAACAGTAAATGATCCCGTAAGTGTTCAGTCTATACTGAGTGCTGAAGTATCATACGTGCAGTATTCTATATAATGAGTTACAGGGCCTTGGTCTCCCAGATGCCAAATAATTCAAATCTTGTTGACTTGTTTGCAATAGATTGTTCTTTCTGCTCTTCAGTTGGTGATGCAGAAGATGAAGCCCATAACATGCAAAACAGGGTGGGCTGTATAAGAGGAGGAGCAAAACACTGTTTCAGTCATTCCTGAATAGCATTCCTGAAAGTTTAAGTCATATGTCTTTATATTCAGTAGTGCTTCTGGCAATCGGTGGGAAGTACTGATTTTCCCCTCAATACAAGAAAGACATTGAGGTGCTGGAGCGTGTCCAGAGAAAGGCAACAAGGCTGGTGAAGGGTCTGGAGCACAGGCCTTATGAGGAGCAGCTGAGGGAACTGGGGTTGTTTAGCTTAGAGAAGAGGAGGCTGAGGGGAGACCTTATCGCTCTCTACAACTGCCTGAAAGGAGGTTGTAGTGAGGTGGGGGTTGGGCTCTTCTCCCATGTAGCTAGCGATAGGACAAGAGGAAATGGGCTTAAGCTGCGCCAGGGGAGGTTTAGGTTGGAAATTAGGAAAAATTTCTTTGTGGAAAGGGTGGTCAAGCATTGGAACAGGCTGCCCAGAGAGGTGGTGGAGTCACCATCCCTGGAAGTGTTCAAAAAACGGGTGGATGTGGCACTTGGGGACATGGTTTAGTCTAGTGTACCCTTGATTGGTTTAGAGTAGACTTGGTAGTGTAGGTTAATGGTTGGACTGGATGATCTTAAAGGTCTTTTCCAACCTAAACGATTCTATGATTCTATGAAATGCTGTCCTCCTAGTCATCTGATACTGTTCAGTAGGCAGTAACTCATAAGGATGTGTATTCCCTTCCCTTGAAGGTGGCGAATAATCTACACCTGGAAAACTTGTGAATCTGGACAGATGCATTTGATACCCATATTTACCTCTCTTGTGTCAAGCAGAAATTTAACTAGCTCATTTGCAAGAGCAGTTAAGGTTAGAGGGTGGTCTGGATGTAGAAATTTATCTAGACATTGTCTTTTGCATGTGTTCCTAATTAGATGTGCTAGCTATATAGCATGGATCTAAAGTGACACAAGGGATGCTGGATCATTATACTGCTTGCTTAGACCTGGGCTGGACTACCTGAGCCACAGTGGAGTGACACCTGTCACTGTCTGGAGTTTGGATGTGCCAAGTTTAGAAACCTCAGTTCTGTATTTCTTTACAAGGCGTAATTCTGGTTTGTTTAGGTTTGTTAGGTGGCACTGACTGACGAAGGAAGGTGTGAAATGTGTGAGGGGGGAAATAAATGTTGCCTTTGTAACTGTGGAAAAGGTCTGTAACCAGTTGCGCTTACTGAATTCCACAGTTACCTGCTCCGTCGGTATCCAGTGTGCCAGACAGTCTGTGTGTATGTGCCTGGAGAGAAGAGTATACTGCTGAGTCTTTGGATCCTCTTCATCTTTGGGTTCTTTTCATCTCATTCAGGGATGAAATGTATTTGACAGGATAATGTGGTTTTATGGAAACCTTCTTTTCTGCTTTGATCATGGTTACAATAATTACAAGGTGCTTTGAGACCACAGTGTTTGGTTTTGTGTTCTGAGTATTTTTAGGAGTGTCTCTAGGAAATAGGGCAGACTTCAAATTTTAACCTTCTTTTTTCGTGAGTGGTGTGTTTGTTGAATGTTATGATGGAGAAAAGAACAAAGCAAGTCATGTTAGTCTTAAATTCTGCTTTATTCCCTTCTGCCAAGCATTTCCAAACCAGAAATGTTTTTAAGTCTTGAGTAAAATCTTATTATATGTTACTTAAGCTAAAAAACTGCAGTGAAATTTCTAAGATGTACTGATGTATGTAGAAGTCAGACAATGTGTTTTGTCTCTTGTTTTTGCTTTGTTTACATTACATAAGTCCAGACTTCTAACAACTTGTCTTCATTCTATCTGGCATGAATGTCAGTAGGGCTAATAGTTCTTTGTGTGTCTTAATGTTTTAAACTTTTGCTTTATGCAAATGAAGTCCAGTTTTTGGTAGTACAAGATCTAATGGACTCTTGAATTTAGAGTTTCCACCTGCAAGTAGATGAAAACAAGTATAAAGGAAAAAAGTGATACAGCATTTTATGTAAAGTTCAGAGTATTTTGAAATTTTGTTAAAGTTGAAAGTATTCCCTGTATTTGCTGAAGTCTGTCTGTCAGGAATGTTGGTGTGGCTGCAGGCTGAAAGTACTCCCCTTCCTCCCACCCCCCCCCCCGTTGTTTTTTTTTTTTTAAACTTCTCTGAGTTTAAAAACTTTTGTGTATTCATTAGGTGATGGTGTTGGATTTGCTTGCAGTCATTTTGTTGCAAGAGTTTAAATACTTCGGAAATGTGGAACTCTTATCCCCTTTCAAAAAAGCATCTGTCTCTCACATACTGTTATTTTTCCAAAGCTGTAAGAAAAGTTGTGTGAAGAGGAAATGCAGGAGTCTGTTTCATGTAGCTTGATTACAACACACTTCAATATAGCTTAGTGGAGAAGCCAGGTTACACAAACACGAGTTGAAAAATGCAAATCTTGGAAACGCTTGGCTCTGTCTGTCTTAATTGCAGTACTCTAATGATGTTTGGTGACTTTTGTAGATGGAAATACCTGAGTTGCTCCAATTATAGTTGATGATAAAAACTTAGTGGTTTTTGTGCCAAAGGAGTGGCTGGTTTTAGCATTGTTTAGATGCTGTTCAGAGCAGTGAAAGAGGGAGGAGACAAATCTGCACTGGAATTCTGCAAGTAAATCACCTTTAGTGCCTTTGAAAGTCTTCCAGCCTTCCTTTCTGCTGTTTTAATCCAACCAGATTAGGAGAGGATGTTAACCTGAAGAGTAGTTAAAACAGCCAGCCATTGTGCTGGATGTAGAACCCGAGCTAGCTGCGTACTTTTGTGGATACTTAAGTTTCCCATGCTTATTGATAAATGAGATGCACGGCTTTTAGGGGCTGTTTTGGGATGCTTTTATGGAGTTTACAAGTTTGTTTTTCATTTGTGCATCTGTTTTGGTGGAATCACAGGACTTAACTGCTAGAACAGTAGAACAGAATCTTCATTTATGACTAACTCTATCCAATTAACCTATTTATGCTCTCATATGGTAGCATACGTTGCATTGATATAGGTAGGCACTGATCATGACATCTTGAGAGACTGTCTGGCCTGCACTGTCTTATAAAATTCCCTCAACTATTTGTTGCGTTGTTGATACGGAACACTGCGACTCCAGTGTCCCAGTGGTCTAGTCTGCTGACAGCCCTGAAGCTGTGCTTGTGTTTTCTGAACAAGCTCTCAACAGCATAAATGACAAGCTTAGTAATGTGAAAAAAACACTATAAACAAAAGGAATTTCAAAAGCATCCTTTCTGCTTGTTTTTTTTTCTTTTGGCTGTGTATCAGTCATTTGTATGTGGATTGATTTCTTTTTCTCTCCTTTAGAATCCATGTCCAGAGTTCAGTGCTTCTTTCCTTTCCAGAATCACATTCTGGTGGATCACTGGGTAAGATCAAGAGGATGCATAAAGCACCAGTTAAAGTTAGATGGCATTTTAGGATCCTGCTTTCAGAGTTAAATTAGCAATAATCATGCAATAGTGATGTTGGTTGTTTTGGTTGGTTGTTTTGTAGCTAGATTAAATTGACTCCCCCCCCCCCCAATTTGATTAATCTTTTTTACTTCCTTTGTAAGGTCTTTGCAATTTTAAATTTTGCCAGTATATATTTAGTATGTTTGCTGAAAGAATATACTAAAAAAATTTTCCTTGGGAAATATAAGAAGGTAGAAATTACCTGCTGTATTTAGAACCTAAGGCTTTCAAACCTATTATCTCTTTTGGTCCAATAGATATTTTTTTTTTTTTTTAATTAACTTAGCTTTAGTTATGATTTGATCACAACACATGTTTTTGTGAGTTAAAACACAGAAACATGTAAAATAATATTGGTGTATAGTTGTGGTTGGTACTTGGCCAGAGTTCCAACAGAAAGCTAGATGAAAGGAATTGCTTTGTAAAATTAAAGGCTAATAAAGATTTTGAAACTTGGTAGGCATGGGAATATTAATTGCCTGGCTGATTTTTCAAATGAGATCACTTCATCCTTTCTTTTATTTTCCTTGAAATTTAAATTCAGTGGCATATCCTGGATCCTTAGATGTTTTGGTGTCTAATTCTCACAGTAAAAACAGGAGGATGTATGTTTTAGCATCTGGACCTGTGTTGCTACAGGTACTAACTTTTGCATGCATTTTTGTGAAGAGCTGGCTCTGTTTTGGGGCTGCATGTAAGGACCACTGTCTTATGGTGCATATACATATATACACACGTATCTCTAGAGTTCTTAAATATATAGTGCTGATTCTTTCTAATACAGGTTGATGGTTCAGGGTTATCGGAGACCTTTGGAAGCCAAGGATTTGTGGTCATTAAATAAAGAGGACAAATCGGAGGAGATAGTGCCAGGTTTGGCTAGAAACTGGGCAAAAGAGTGGGCAAAGACCAAGAGGTAAGTTCAGTTATCCTGGCTGGCAGTTCTTCCAAGATGGGGAGGTTCAAAAGCTCAAGTTATTCAGCCTCTGCTTAGAGGTGTTTTGTCATCTGTTATCAAGCCTGCTTTTGTAAGGCCCAAGTGGCAGCTCTGTAGTTGTCCTTGAGTGCATACAGAACAGGAACCAAGTAGGGTGTTGTGTGTCTTCCTTATGAAGAGCTGCATCAAGTTTCCCTTACTCTTTCATGATCCAAAGCTGGTTATTGTTACTTGTAATGTGTGGTTTTTCCCTGGGGAGGGAATGTTTTCACAGAGTCAAACTTCAGTCGTGTAATTTAGGAGTTTGGGCTCCCTCTATAGTTAGTGAAGCCTTAGGAGGGCAGTTCAGGGTGTAAAAGGGAGAAGCTTATTTCTTTCCTTTGGCTATATAGGGAGCCTGGGCATCTAAGCCAGATGACTAAAATTAGAAAGACTGCATGCCTGCAGTTTCCATCCTACTTTGATCATACTTTACTGCAGCAAATAGAAGTACCTTTTCATTGAAGGAAAATTGCTTTCTTGCTTCACACAGTGTATTTTTACATACAGCTTGTCCTCAGAAGTTTGGAAGTATGTAGTTTGGCATAAGCCAGATGTATGAAATGAATGCGTTCAGTCCATTGGGGATGACTTGGCATAAATCTGACTGCAGTCTTTTAACTCCGGTGGTACAGTAAGGCCTTGATTTTGATGAAAGTTCAGCATACTGGGTTCTAGAATAATAATTTTTATTTAAGTTTTTAAGCTCTTTAAGTTTAACACAGGTTACGGCCCTATTCCTATTCCTCATTCCCCAGGGCAGACTATAGCAGACATTCAACAGGAACGTTACCTATCCCTACAAAGATGACCATTTCTGAATGGCCAGTTCATTTAGCTATGGTTATAGGATTAAAAAGGTGTTTGATTGACAGTAAAACCCAGTTAAACTATTAAGAAGGGCAATAAACAGCTCATAAACATCTCATTTGTATACTGTGCATTTTTCCAGTTGGCTTTATGCTTGAATAAAGGCTACATAATATACCTACTCTTATTTCAGGCAACCGTTAAACGTGTTATACTCGCCCAGAAAGCAGCAAAAATCAAGCGACTCAAATGGTGATGTGACAGAAGAGGCTGAAGCTTTGATTGTAAAACCATCTCAGAAAAGCTCTGAAGCATCTTTATTCAAGGTGTTATATAAAACCTTTGGACCGTATTTTCTCATGAGCTTCCTGTTTAAAGCTGCACATGATCTCTTGATGTTTGCAGGCCCAGAAATTCTGAAGTAAGACCTATATACTTTATTATTGTATTAAAAGGGTGTGGACAGAGTTTAAAACACTGGTATTATTTCACTCACCAAGCTGCTTTGCATTCAGCTGGTTCCATGGGGAAGAGTTGTCATGCAAGTTAGAGACCGTGCACACAGATGATATTGGTCCATTGGTTTTCAAATTATAACATCATACATTAAATGTTTGACTTCTTATGTTCCTTTCCAACACTAGGAAGGCCAGGCAGGAACATAATCAACAATAGCAGGAGAGTTTATTTAATTCTAACCTGTAATGATTGTGGGACTACAGGTCACAGTATGTGAAGCAGCAGAGAGCTAAGGGGGTAGGAGGAGTTGCGTTGCTTTAAGGTGAGAAGTAGTAAAACAACTGTAAGCGGTTGTATTTTAGCTGGAGGGAGTATGAGACTTTTTAGTGTAGTTCCAAGAGAATGCTGAACATGTAAGGTATGTGATACTTTCTGTTTTAAAGTAGTACATTGTTAGGAGGAGGGAGTGATGTGTGCTAGTATAAAATGATCTCCAGTTTCTAAGAAGTTTGCTTAAGTGTTTTACCTAAGTTTGGTACTTTGGGTGCTTGCATGACCCATATAATGTTTGGAATAATCTAAGGTTGTAAACCTGACATCTCATTTTGATTCGCATACATCAAGAGAACTAATTCCTCTCTCCATAGATTGCTAATCAACTTCGTAAATAACGAAGGTGCCCCAAACTGGCAAGGCTACTTTTATACAGGGCTGCTGTTTGTTTGTGCCTGTCTTCAGACGCTGATTCTTCACCAGTATTTTCATATTTGCTTTGTAACTGGAATGAGGCTCAAAACAGCTATTGTTGGTGTAATTTATCGAAAGGTAGGTGTTTCTTTAAATATACAACAGTACCTCTCAGTGGCTGTGTGAATGCCTCACTTAAGTCTGAATAATTAAAGTAGTTAAGAGACTCTGGTAGGCTGATTCCTAACTTTTAATAGAAATAGGGGAGTATCTAATTTATCAATAAAAGCCTTTAAAAGAGTGCAGTTTTCTAATTTACTAGTTAAAGTTCAGGCACCTTCTTCCCACTGCCAAACAAGAAACCTTGTCTCATTTAGATTAGGGGTGTGAAACTGCTTCAGTTTGTGCAGAAATTAAGACGCATCTACGTTTACAGCTTCATTTAGGACTTAGCAGTAGTGTCACCTCATCTTGGAATAAGCTGGAACATTTTAGAAGGCTGTGGACTGATTGTTCTGTGTGAGAAAAACGTGTGGCAAGAAATGAAGATTCCGCTTCTTACACTAAAAAACAAAAGCAGCAAACAATACCCCCCCAAGCAATAAAACCACCGACCAACCAACCCTGACCCCAAAGACTGCTTGTTGTCTTTAATTCTGTATTAGTTTAAACCCAGCTGCTTGCTTCAAACTATACAACTTGCATTTTGTAAGGTGTGCAGGGAAACAGAATACAAAGCAGGGAAAGAATTGCTTGTAATTTTAAAGATGAAGCTATGTAAACCAATTGAATTCTGTGGAGAAAATGCAAATGAGAAGTCTTCCTTCATGTTACCTTAATTGTTTTTTATTTTTAATCCGCACCTAGGCACTTGTTATCACAAATTCTGCTAGAAAGACTTCTACTGTGGGTGAGATTGTGAATCTAATGTCTGTGGATGCTCAGAGATTCATGGACTTGGCTACCTATATAAACATGATTTGGTCTGCACCTCTCCAGGTGATATTAGCCCTGTACTTACTGTGGCAGGTGAGCGTGGTGTGTTGTTTCCTGTTTTGACTTTCGCAGCGTGCTGTTTCCTATGGTCATGACTACAAACAGCTGTTGTGCAGACCACTGGAGGGTTTGCAGCAGTGTGGAGAAAATGCTGTTTGTTTAGAAGCCATTCAGAGCTGCTTTTGTTACTGCTGTCAAGAAGGAAGGCAGGAGGTTCTTAATTTGCACATCTGAATGCATGTGGGGAGGATGCAGACACGAGCTACTATCTTTTGGGGGACTGCAGCACCTATAGTATCTCACTTGTCACTTGCTTTAAAGAAAAGTTGTCTTGGTACTACACTCTGAGAATCACTGTATGAGATGTTTGCTTTTCTAGTCCAGACAGTCACCAGGCTGACTCTTCCTGATTCTCACTGTCAGTCAGGAAGGCAATGAAATTCCCCAAGAAGTCAGTCACTCCCTGCATGGGTCTCTACTTCAGAAGAACAAACTAGCAAAAACTGGAAAACATTAAAAGACCTCTGCATGTGTGCATAGATAGATACAGATATATATATATAGATTGATCTATATCTATATACACCTGTCTATATGGGGGGTGTATATGTATGTTTGTTTCAAAAATCAAAGTACATAAACATCAACCCAAGCCCCTACTTGATCTTCCTCTTCTTCCCCCAAGCTGTTCTTGAAAAGGGAAGAAGAGGTTGAAAAGCTATTTCAGAATGCTGTTCTGTAGCATATGCAGTGATTTGACCCAAGATTTTTAAAAATGAGTTTGAATAAATGTTTATAAATGCTTTTCAGAATTTAGGTCCTTCAGTGCTGGCAGGTGTGGCTGTCATGATCCTTCTTGTTCCAATAAATGCTGTGATGGCAATGAAGACAAAAACCTATCAGGTTAGAACCTTTATATATGCAACAGAGTGCTTTTAAGAAACATATTCTGTTCTTTGACTTGTTCCTGAAGTTTGTCCTTTTAAATTTTTGTCCCTCCCTCTATTTATCCCTTAAAAAAGGGAAAGGAAGGTCAGAGGTGTTGTGTATGCAGAATAAGCAAACTCACGTATTTTTTAGCCTTACAGTGTATCTGTACATAGTGATCTAAACCTTTTGGAGTAGTTAAGACCAAAGTAGCAGGTTAGCCAGCTTCATGAAATGCCTGATGATTGGGTTGGAATTAGTTGAGTTTTTAACTTGCTGCCTAAGAACTAAAGTGCAAACATAAACTACTGTCTGCCTAATGAACCTTAATGAGTGAAATACTCACATTTCCATTTCCAGGATGGTGGTTGCAGTGTCGGGGTGGGGGCGGTGGTGGTGGTGAAAGTCTCCCCCCCCCCCCCTCCCCCGGAGGGGTGAGGAGAGAGAAGTCTTAGTTGTTGGCTGTTCTTGATCCCTGGTTGATTATATTTAGAGGGGATCAGTTTGTTACAGAGAGTACACATGAGTAAATGTAGACTCAAACTCTCATGTTTTGTATTGCAAAAACTACTTCCAATAGCCATGTGCTTTCTGGTACAGACTTAACTATTAACTGAATTTACCAAATGTCAGAGGAGACTGATTTATGGAAATGAAACGTTTTAGCTCTAGATGTTCGTCAAAATGTACCACGGCATTTGGTTCCTACATGGGAGAAATAGGGGATGTCTAGCCTGTCACAGCCACAGTGCCACTGGTCACAGCTGTCTGGGACGGCTGTACCAGTGCAGTCTACTGACTGCTTAGTGCTGAGTCACAACATCGTTTCAACTTTGCACTGCCCTCATTAAAATATTTTATGAAGATGGTATGGACTTTATTCTTATGGCTGAATGGAAAGCTTCTTGCCTTAGTGCACCATCAGGAAGCCATTGATAGTGCTGAAAATGAAGCAAAACCAAGTTTGGTCTAAGGTTAGATGCCAACTCCACATCACTGAAGCTTGATTATAGTGGCTTATTTTTTAACTGCATATTGTACCTAGAAGGAACGTGAGTCCCAGGGCTCCCTGGTGCAGGGTTAATCTCACTTAAACCAGTGCCACAGTTGTTTTGATCTTGGTTCGGATTTTTAGTTGTATGAAGCATTCCTTTAATTGGTTTAAAACATCTTGTTAATTCTGCATATTTGTTTGTTCAGATAGCATCTCAGATTTCCTGCTTGGGAAGCTAGTAAGCTTTTGATGATAATGAGGTAAATTTTGCCATTGCAAAATACAAAGCTCAGAACTTTGTGGCTCTGCCAAGTATTGTGCTCTGCTAATTATTTTTTGCAATGTTGTTTTTAGGTGGCTCAAATGAAGAGCAAAGACAACAGAATTAAGCTGATGAATGAAATTCTCAATGGGATTAAAGTTCTGAAACTTTATGCTTGGGAATTAGCCTTCAGAGAGAAGGTATTAGAGATCAGACAGAAAGAACTCAAAGTCCTAAAAAAATCTGCTTACCTTGCTGCAATGGCAACCTTCACTTGGGTTTGTGCTCCTTTTTTGGTAAGTGAAACAAATCTAGAAGTCTGTTCTCCTTTTTGCGATCACGCTTTCTAAGGCAGCACTTGAGAACTTGTTTTGGTTTTGTTTTTTAATGAGTGGAAGAGTCAGAATGCACTCTGCAGTGGTGGGAAATTGAAGACTTATGTCTCCACTTCTCTATGAAAAGGCGCTACTGTTTTCTTTGAAACTTAGTAACGTCCAAGTTGGATGTATTCTAGAAGTTAATGGCCAAAGTATTTAAAAATAAAAACCTCTTCTGCATCCCTCTCTTATTTTTGGTGGTGTACTTGAGGAACCTAAGATTAAATGTACTGTCAGATTTAGAAGAGGTTGCTAACGTGCACAGTACCCTCCAGGTGGTAGCTGTGGCTGACAGAGTGAAACTTCCCTTATTTCAGCATCTTTCTGAGAGCAGCAGGTCATTAGATAGAAGTCCTTGATCAAATGGGACATTGTGCACCAGGCGTACCTCTGGCCTGGGTTCTCCCAGCATCTGTTTAAGAACAATGTGGAGAGGTAAAGCCATTGCGTACCCTGGGATTGCTTCAAATTCTTAATTAAAAAAAAAAATATTCTTGATATGTGAAACATCCCCGCTATATTTGTGGTTAGTTTACATTTAAACTAATAAAAGGGAGAGAAGGTGAGATCACATAAAAATTGCTTCAGACCCTATTAGAACAAGGGGCTGTTGCTCTAGTCTGCAGAAGCAAATAAAAGCCATGACTACATTAGGATAAAATATGTACTGTTCCAGTTGAAGGTGTTTAAATGTACTTTCCAGGCTCAGATTCCTTCCCCACAAACATTTTTAGTGTTTACATTATGTTTTGGGCATGATGAAAGGCAGAAGAAGCAATGCCCTGGGTAGGAGACATCAGCTGCATTCTTGAGTGAATGCTTTTCTAAAAGAAGTCTGAGATGGTTTTAATATAAGTACATTATTAAATGAAGTTTCTAAATAAAACTCTGCAGGTGGACTTCTTAATGCTGTTCTGTGGAGTCTGAGAAGACAAAGTCACCTAAGGAGTAGCTGTGTTTCAGCACACGCTGTGAATGTGTGGCAATGGTCCTGCACCTCAGGGGGTTTGCTACTGGGGCAGAATCGGTCCAGCCCAAAGTGCAAGGCTGCTGTTCAATACCCTGTTTCTCAGTTTTTTTGTTCTTCTGTGTATGTTCTTCTGAACTTCTGACTAAAGAATTATTGCAAGCGTCTACTTGAAAGCACTTTTGAATGCAAAACTTTATTTCCTCTGCTCCTCCTCCTGTTTCCATGGCCAGGGCTCTTTAAAACATCGATTTATTATTTATTTATTTATTTATTTATTGTCACTGTTTTATTACAGTGTCAGGAAACTATTCATTTTGCAGTACCTCCCCTGCTGCTGTGTGTGCTGATAAGGGTGTATTTCAGACTAATTGCTGGTAACACAAGAGTGCAGACATGCTGCTTGTGAGGTTATTTTTTGGACCCTGTCTTGGTTTTGATCTCTGTGGGCGGGCTTTCTCCCTGGGATATGGTTGTCCGAACTAAGGGTTGTACAAACAAGCTACTGTACCAGGCACAGCTGAGTCAGCCACCGTACGAAGAACAATACGTGGCTTCATACGTGCCTTGTGTCTTCAAAGCGGTCACATTTTTAACAGAAACGCTAAGGTCTTCAATGGATGCTGTGCTTAGATGAGACTGTTCCTTAGGCATTTGAGCTAATTGTTTCAAGTCTTGTGGGAGGGGCAATGCCAAAGGTTAGCCTACCTTGCTTTCTTGTTTTAAGGAAGGCTTTCTGTGGGACAGAGTTGCTGGGTCTTGTGATGTACTGAGGTATGAGTGGTGTTACCATGGAAGAAAACACTGGAGGGAATAGATCTGAAAGTAAACATTTTGTTTTACTTAGTTTACTTTAATGTTGCTATAATTTGATCAACACAGTTTTAAAAAATGTAAATAAGTATATGGATTTTTTTAAATTACTTTTATACCTTATAATTGATAATAACAATGGTTCCATGTCATTTTCTTGTTCAGCATGGAGCTTTTCTGTTGTGAATTTTATGATGATTCTATGAATTTTTTAGGTATTATAAGGCTTCATCTTTGTAATGCAGTAACATTTCAAGTTTCTTGGAAAACAATCTGTCCGTGATAAAGTGGGCTGTACTTCGAAATCTATGGTTGTGGTAGTCTCTACAAAATATAAAATGGGTTACCACTGGGGTATTTCTACGTTTCTGTCTACATATGTTACTGATCCAGTATCTGGTACCATGGGGAGTGCCTTAAAACTGAAAGAGAGCAGCAAGTAAGACTAGTGATCATTCCTCTCCTTCCCTTCTTCTGCAGTGTGACCACAAATAGCCTGGGACATTTGTGGTTTCACCCTTGCTATGTGAAGAAAGTCAGCACTTGACACCTTTCCCAGAAGAGCTATCAGCCTCTTTTTATCACAACAGATTTAAATCAAATGTTTGTTTTGCAAAAAGCATTATCAGCAACAAGGAAGTTACCAGAACATTACTCTTTCTTTGCTTTATAGACCTTTGATTCCAGTTGTCAGACTGTGTGACTCCTGAGTTAGTGGCTTTAAAAAAATGTTACCCTAACTGTAACAATTATACTTTGTTTCAGGTTGCCTTGTCCACGTTTGCTGTGTACGTCACAATAGACAAGAACAACGTCTTGGATGCTCAGAAGGCATTTGTTTCCCTAGCATTATTCAACATCCTCAGGTTTCCATTGAACATGCTTCCTATGGTTATCAGCAGCATAGTAGAAGTAAGACTTCAGTCATTAACAGGTGTTTCTGCATGGAAGTAGCCACTGGGTGGAAAGATTACATTCCTGTGCTTAAAGAATGTCCACTGATGAAATTCAGCCACCTCAGAAAAGAAGCTTTGCATTTCCTGTGTGTTAAATGCTGTGCAAGCAAAATTATCAATCCCAGTTATGCTGGATGGGTGTTCCTGAAATTAGCCATATTTCTTGTGGTTTGGGAAGTGCAAGTTTGATGACTATCCAAGAAACTATGCAGTGGATTTAAGGAGGGATTAGGAGTGCATAATAACGATGTAACATACATGTGGTGCCAAACAATAAGCTCTTAAATGTAAAGAGCAGAGTATAAGATAGTTTTGCATCCCTTTCCCATGCAGGCCAGTGTCTCCTTGAAGCGCCTTAGGGTGTTCCTGTCTCATGAAGAGTTAGATCCAGACAGCATAATCAGGGGACCCATCCCAGAGGGTGAGTTTCTTTTCCTGTTGAAAATCAGTGTGTGCAGGTTTGGGGTGGCTTTGCAGTGTTTCTTTTGCTTTCTGTAACAAACTTACTCCATTTTGGTGCATCTTGCTGATAAATTTTAGCCAGAAAGCAGAGAAGGGAGTTTGTAAAATGACAATTATATAAAGTTTCTATCACCTTCTCAGGTAGTTTCTTTCCTGTCCCCAACTCCTGTGTCCAAACTACAGAATGGCTGCATCCAGACACAGATGGTCACTTTAAAAATTACTTGTTAGACTGTTCTGAGTGTAGCTATTTGAAATTTGTAGGCAGTTAACAGAATGATAATTAATGCTGTGCCAAACCCCAGCATTTTGGAGAAGAACAACCATGTAACACTTCAGAACCCTTGGAGGAGAAAGGATAAGCCCCAGTTCTGGCAAATGCCTCTTCTTTTTTGTGCAAAGATAAGCATGAAGGCAGATTTACTGAAAAACTAGTGCCCTTTTTCTTGCAAAACAAAACTTGACCTTAACTACGTCAGTCATTTGTTAATGATTTTTCTTACTTCCTTTTTATAAAGATAGTGAAATCCCCATCACTCCCTCTCATGTGGTTAGCTGAGTTCTATATCAGTTTAGTCACTCGGCTTTCCGGTAAGCAGTCATCTTCTGTATTTCCCCCCC